CTTTGGTTTTACCTACTAGCAATAACACAGTTATCTGCATACGTTAAGGGTGAAAGAACGCACCCTTGTGAGGACTCAGTGGACGAGCAGAATTTAATTTACCCTCACTCTTTGTGTTCTATTAGTTAAATAGTCAAGGGTCCAGCCCAGATGGTTACTTGAGTCAAATTGTTCTAAAAGCCAACTGTTTCAAATATTAAATTTAATTGTGTTAAACACAGAGGAAACCTCAACAAATACAAGTCTGGCATGAGACCCATCTCCCTCCAAGTGATAAAACAAGGACTGAGGCTCAGACCCATTTATACCCATAGAGGACACTGTTGTGTCCTCTTTGCTGTAATACTTTGTTTTCTTTTAACAACCTGTGGAAGAGAGTACAATTTACAGTCTGAGGAACCTCAGAATATAACATAACTTATAATAAATGTAGCATCTACACTAATTGACCACACCTACAAAGAGTATTTGATGAAATGAAATGATCATGTTGATTAATTGACACCTGTGTATGTTTAATATCCATTTTGGGCTGTACATCTAATGCATGTCGTTTTATAGTTTCTACATTTTCAAAAACCAGGTGACTTTTAGTAACACTATAAAATGAATCCATTAAATTCATACCAGATATTTCTCATAACTCCATCATTCTCACTGTGCTGCAGCTCACCCAGGGTTCTGGTATCATCTGTAGTACTAGAACAGCAGCTAGGTGGCTCCGCCGGACAAGAGAAGAAGCATGGAGGGAGAAAGAGCCAAAAGAGGGTTCAGCTTGTTCAAAGAATTTCATGACACACCTGGAAAATACTTTTCTTGTATCATTTGTCACAGGGTGAAATTTGATTTGTGTTCTGTATATCCTTTGAAGAGAAAGGGTGAGTAATGTCAACAAAGAATCTTTATGGTCCTAACTTTGAAAATGCACTAGTGACACCAGACTTTATTGGAGTATTTTGGGATGAATACAGATCAGGGTTATTTTATCTCACTACAGAGCACCAGGACAAGAAGGTTTTATACTGCCATTAACTGCCTGCTGACTCTTCACTCGCTGCTCTTAATCGGTCCCTGGCTGGTAGGGGCCGGCCACTAGTGACTCCACTAGTCTCCAACCCCCCCAACAGCTAACAGAGCTACGAGGACACACACAGTTGCATTGCTCTGGGCCGCTGCTCTGTTAAGGACGGTGTGTTCGGCTAACTGCTAGCGGCTACACTGCTGTAACAGATCACTTTTGTGTTACTGCAACTCAGCCGCTGCTACTCAGGCAGACAGAATATTGAAAATAATATTTAATTTTGTTTCTAACAAGATTGTATGATGTGACATATACAAGGACTTTAATCCGATTACATCGCCACTTTCTTTTGAGTTTGAATGAAGTGTGTTTTACGGCGCCATTGGTGTCTAGACTGGGGGTTAGCCAATTGTGGGCTGTATTCATTCAATCACACAACACAGCAGTAGTCGTTGCAGACACTCCTGGAGGAGAATTGGTATTGCTAACAACACTTTCTTCCAGCAGACACAAAGCAACATTAGCATTATTTTGGAGTCGTGTGTTTGCCTGCTGAGAAGCTCTTTAGCTGCTAAATGCTCCACCAAGTTCAGTAGCTGATTGCTATCTTTGTCTGTCCGCTGTTTGGTGCTGAGAAAGTAATGTACAGTGGGTTGTACATATGGTTTTGGCTGAAAACAGCTGCTTGATGGTTAAACAAGGGTGATTAGCACCGAGAGACTGAAACACAACAGTAAAGTGAAAGAGGCTGAAATGCTCTTTAGAGCTGAAAGGACCTCAAAAAATCTGTTAATGTTATTTTATATTTCTCTGTGGGTCCATCACTACGAGCAGCACCTTTCATATTATCATCATACTCATTTGATCCACTGTCAATAACAACATACTCATTAGAGCAACTTTCATCTTTTAAGTAAATCAAGTAAATAGAATTCCATCTGTAAACAATACATTTACAAAAGACAATAATGTTCAGCAAGTTTTATAAGGATAGAACATAGTCACCACACTTTCTCATTAAAGAGCTGATGTTATCAGCCGAGTTATACACAGCACACTGTACTCTGTGGTCCATGTCCTGGATGGCACAGATGACGCTCTCTAGCTGTGACCAAGCTTTCATCAAAGTCTATGAGGTGAAAGGTTTTGTAAACGGCTTTGACTATGTCTCGGGCCACTGATGTGCACATACACAGGAGGCGAGCTCTAGTAAACGATGTATTCAGACAGAAGCAAGTAGCTGCTGCGTCAGCCAGCTGTTTGTCAGTCTGTTTGCTGGCAGCCTCAGCCCCGTCTCTCAGAGCAGCGTGCAAACTGGAGGCCCTGCTCCAAGTCTGGGAAGTCCTGACCTCAACAAGGGGCTCCGGTTCATCCAGGAGGAACCTCAAAGCCATTTCCACCACCTGCGGCACTAAAGGTGCAGTGGTCTTCTGAAGCGTGGTGAGCAGTGCTAGTTTGGAAAGCTTGTGGGAGCCAGTAAAAGAGGTGAGCAGAGGAAAGTTTGAACATCCTGCTCTGCCTTTGGGCAGATGACTGAGAGACACATTTGAAGGCCTTCCAGTGTGACCTTTATATGGTTGGAGGAAAAAGAGAGAAGAGTGAGTGACTGTATGACGTTACTGGTGTACAGCAGCTCAGAAGATGCTGGATTTTATCTTAACTTTTGTTCTGAGCAGCAGTGAAAGGTGTTTCTCTTTTTTCACTTCCTCTTGGAGCTCTTGCTCCATCTGAAGGAGACAGAGGCACCTCGCTGAGGTCCAGGCATGCACACATCACTGTACAGTTTACCTTCTAACACCCAGCATCCACTTTACCAGTAGATCAAATATGTAAGGGTTTAAATACTCACTGTTCTAGATATCCTTATTATGAAGATAAATAAGCATGGCTGTATATTTAACATTTTTAGGAAAAATGATAGCGCTTTCTCATCTTATAAAACAATTTTAAATCAAAACTTAGGGACATGTTATAGTTACTATTTATGCTTTGTTTTTATATAGTAGATGTTTATAATGTATGTTGTATTCCAGTTGTCTTTTTTTAAATAATAAATACACAATATATATGCTTATTTCTGTTTTTCTACACTCAAATAAGTGAGCACGCATTTCTGCTAAGGGCCTCGCTCAAGGGTCACTAAGTGGTGGTAATGAGCAATGAGATTTATCGCTCCAGGGGATTGAACCAACTACATTTTACTTTTTAGTTTTAGATTGTTGTATGCATTTATTTTAAAGAGACATGGCATTGACTTCATACATCAAGATCAGTTTACTCATTATAGCATCAGGGAGGGTCAAGTAGCACTGTGGGAAGTGTAGTTTATTTAACAAATGGGGTCTCTACAGCTGCTGCCTTTTTTTCAAACATTCTTTTTAACTACTACACATTTGCACATTGATGCCTCATGTGCAAAATGCAAAATCCACAGAGAACTGTGTGTGATTGTTGACTTATTCGTGCTCTGTGCATTTGACTCCTGTTTCTAGTGCATTCCTTTCCTGTTGAAGAGTCTGTTTCCCTGTCAACATGATGCCTCTCATGCGGGAGACTCATGTAAACTAATGACAGTTTCATTAACTATGGTGCTATCATCGCTCACTAAACCATATATGGTTGATGGGAAGTGTATATATGGTATAAACCATATATGGTTTAGTGAGCGATGATAGCACCACCTTTTGGTAATTTTGGTAAGATGAAAATCATGTTGTGATTGTTCTCATTGATTCCATCCAATCAGTATCTGAGCCTTGTTGCAGCCACATTAATAAACCATTTGTGATGTCTCTCTGTGGCTTGAATTGGTCGTTATAAATAAACAGAGATGTGTCACCATACCAAGCAACAGGCCAAATGAGGAAACCTTTAGCTTTTGGGTGCTTTGGGCTAAATTCATTTCCCACTTTGGCTCAAAGCTGCTTCACTTAAAATGAAATGTTTGAATAAGATAACAAAATGAGATTCCATCAACAAGTCTTCACTTGTTAAATAATATAACAACAAAGGCTTTAAAGAGGACTGTGTGATACACTCTTACTTTATTCTGTGAATTAGTTCTGTTTGACAAACTAGATTATATAATCATCATCATGATCATCACCGTTGTCTTATATCCTATATGCAGTAAAACAAACAGTCACAGAGGTCCTCACAAAAAAATTTAAAAATTAAATTAAAACGTAAAAAAATTGAATAAATAAACCAATATTAAATGAACAGTTTAATCACTTGTACTAATATAAATGAGGCCATGAGAGCAAATTATGAAATGGTTTCGACATTAAATCACCACCATCATCATCGTCATCATCATATACAATGAGTGTATGATAAAGTAAAGAAGAGATGAAGGGGAGCTGCAGATTCCAACAGTTGCAAGTTAAGTCCACTATAATAACAGACAGAACTTCCGGTAGAATCTTATACACTAAAACTTAAAAAGCGCCGTTCCATAAAAATCACATGCCAGGAAAAAAAATATAGATGTTACTAAATCATTAGTAATAATAATTATTACATATGATTTAGGATGGGAGCTGCCAGTTCTTCATGATAATTATCATACTATAAATTCAAAGTTATATTATACATTTATATAGCACAATTAACACACTGGTAGGCAGTTTGTAAATGTGTGACACACACTTTAACACTGATAGATATGAAAAATTAACAAACACATTGCTATGTGCTAAGTTTTCTGCCATTACTACAGGCTCATTTTCATGGTAGCCTAGTAGGTTAATGGTAATGTGTAGTAGTAGCTGGTAGTAGCCTACTGAGAAGACCTTTAAATGTTGAGCATAAAAGTTTATTCTTGTCACTGAAAAGTTGCTTGGCAAAATAAAAACGCGTACAACATAGCCTGTCCCGGTCACAAACTGTCCAACACGTTGTGCTTTTATTTTGAAGTGAGATTTATGAGACATCCATTTCCACCCCTCTCGCTCCGTGCAGTTTGACGCTGCTCTTGTAGCGGACGTACGGAGCGTGCAGCTGGATTGAGCAGAGCGCTGAGGAGAAGAAGCTGTTCACCAGCGTCACACAAGTTTCGCTCCGCTTCGCTGCTCTACGAGCTGAGACCAGCACCGGACTCCAACTTTTACTTCACTCACAAAGTTAGACTTGTTGGTGCCGAGGAGCGGAGTGTCATCATAACTGCGCGTGTGAGAGAGAAGTAGCGCTGGCGATGTCTGGATCGTACTGCAGAAGTTTGTACCCGTTCAGCGGGGAGCAGCACCAGCAGGGACTGGGCTTCGAGGCCGGGGACATTATTCAGGTGGTCCAGGCTCTGCCCGGAGGCTGGTGGGAAGGGGAGCGGGATGGAGCCAGAGGATGGTTTCCCTCGAGCTATGTCCAGGTCCTGGAGGTAAGAAAACACCACTTCTTATTACTTATTTGGAGTAAGTCTTAGTTTGATCTTAATTGATAAGGTGACGTTGACTTTTAAAAATATCTTTTTATTATGAAAAGCAATATTTTTATTTTCTAAATTGACACACACTCAAAGTGAGCAGGGTAGAAGGTTGTAACTGGACACAGATAAAGAGCGCATTGACAGACGCACTAATAAATGGGTTTCTCGTGCTGTGCTGATCAGATTAACTCTAACCTTCCCAGCAGTCAGCTCTCTGCCTGGCTGAGCGGCCCAGTGGCTGCACACTTCCTCATTCCACACACATTCCAGTGAAATTCTCAGGTCTCCTCTCTGTGCCAGTGAATGCGCGGGGCTTGCTCGTGGTCTCTTTCCTCCCCCCGCACCGAGCCCAGACTCTCGGCTGTTGAAACTCAAAGGTCTCCCAACTTTGTATTTCTTTCTTTTAATTTGGAGTTTGGCTCTGTGATCAAACTGATTGAGTTTGTGATTCAGTTGGTGACATCATCACCCAGTATTCTGACAGTTTGTTATAATCAGCTTGTATCCACGAGGGCCCGGCAGGAGGCTGAGGTATTAGTCTCACGTCGTCACTCTGAATGTGAGAACAAACGGTAGCCTACCATGATTTGTGACCCGGTAACACCAAAGCAGGGCCTCCTGATTCTGGGCTTGTGTAGATATAGATGGGATCATGAACATGTAGCAGCAGCAGCGGGTCTCTTGTCTTGCCTAAGGCCAGTTTGAGGAATGGAGAGTGTGTGTGGGGAACAGGGCTCGAGAGGCTGGAGATCAGACGGGGAACAGGGCTCGAGAGGCTGGAGATCAGACGGGGAACAGGGCTCGAGAGGCTGGAGATCAGACGGGGAACAGGGCTCTAGAGGCTGGAGATCAGACGGGGAACAGGTCTCTCGAGGCTGGAGATCAGACGGGGAACAGGTCTCTCGAGGCTGGAGATCAGACGGGGAACAGGTCTCTAGAGGCTGGAGATCAGACGGGGAACAGGTCTCTGACTCTCGGAGATGGGGCTCTGGGTAACATGAGTTCATAGACTGGGGCTCAGGGGGATTGACTGATGACCCAGCGGGGTAAGGGGCTGGAAGTCGTTGCAGCGCGGAGGTGGCAGCGGTTGAGACTGGAGATCGCTGCTGTTCGGAGACGTCGGCAGCCGGGACTGGAGGTCACTGCTGTTCGGAGACGGCGGCGGCCGGGACTGGAGGTCGCTGATGCTCGGAGACGGCGGCAGCCGGGACTGGAGGTCGCGGCTGCTCGGAGACAGCGGCCTGGAGCGGCTGCAGCACGGATGCGACGGCTGGAGTCGGCTGGATCGCTGACCGGACACGGGGAGCTGGAGTCGGTCGTCCCGCCGACAGGACACGGGGAGCTGGAGTTAGCTGCGGCCCAGCGGGAGCGGGGGATAGCTGCGGCCCAGCGGGAGCGGGGGATAGCTGCGGCCCAGCGGGAGCGGGGGATCGCTGCGGCCCAGCGGGAGCGGGGGATCGCTGCGGCCCAGCGGGAGCGGGGGATCGCTGTGGCCCAAACGGGAGCGGGGCATCGCTGCGGCCCAGCGGGAGCGGGGCATCGCTGCGGCCCAGCGGGAGCGGGGGATCGCTGCGGCCCAGCGGGAGATCGCTGCGGGAGAGGGGGATCGCTGCGGCCCAGCGGGAGCCGATAGATACAGATAGAAGAGTGAGGGGTCGATACAGGTAGAAGAGTGAGGGGTCGATACAGGTAGAACAGTGACGGGTCTATAGATACATATAGAACAGTGACGTGTCGATACAGGTAGAACAGTGACGGGTCTATAGATACATGTAGAACAGTGAGGGGTCGATACATATAGAACAGTGAGGGGTCTATAGATACAGGTAGAACAGTGACGGGTCTATAGATACAGGTAGAACAGTGAGGGGTCTATAGATACAGGTAGAACAGTGACGGGTCGATACAGTGAGGGGTCGATACAGGTAGAACAGTGACGGGTCGATACAGATAGAACAGTGACGGGTGGTGATGGGTCGGGCCATCAGTAAATATTTCATTCGTTAATCTGGAAATAAGAGATTCAACTCCTACTTCACGTAGGCTCAATCACACATAACGGAACTGGGGGGTTTCTTCAGTTGTCTTGTAGTGTGTCATTGGTAAGTTGATGAGGCATATTGTCACAATGATATGACTGATGGTGAAACAAAGGAACACTTCTCTATTTCCTCATTCTGGTACTTTATTGAAGTCCAGACGGGCGCTGTAAGGAAATCATCCTCACTGCTTCACTTTCACAATCGTAAATGATCATAAATGGAGGCTGATGGACTAATCACCCAGACAGGGATTTGTATAACTGGCCCAGTGAACAATGCAGCTCTGATCTGTTGCTGTAGTCATCCTCAGTGTTGTGGCTTTGTTCTACAAACATCTCCATTCTTCTAAGCAGAATGAATCATTCACAACCTGTTGCTGCCTGGTGCATCACACTACACTTTATCCAACACTCACTGCACTTACCAACTTTATTTTGCATGTAGAAAGAGATAATATATAGTTCCTCTTCAAAACCAAAAGATAAATTCATACTTAATCTGTACGCCTTTTATTTTATGATGGGTAAAGTTAGCAAACTGTCATTTCTCCATTTTCCAACTTTATAAATTTGTTTTACACTGTTATTATCTAACAACTGTCAATGTCATACAAGTTACATGATCTCATTTTTAAGGAAATTTGCACTTTAGTACAACTCTAAAAACAGTATTTTTTGGCATTAACATCTTTTCATAACTTAATGCAACATTTTACTCCCCAGAGTAATTAGCGCTCAGACAGCTTGTAAACAGCTAGCAGTCTTAAACAGTGTTGGTAATAATCCCTCATTGCACAGAACTCTGACAGTTTAGATGATACTTTCACTGCTCACCTACGTTTTATCTCATCTTGTCTGGCAGCACGTTACAATATCAACAGTTAACCTAATGAGTACAAGCTTATTATTGAATTATTGTATGATGGCCAAAACTACTCAAATAGACCCAAATCGGAAGGAGTCTTTATAAGAATAGCTTTTGGATATATGTTTAGCCTAGCTTAGCATAACGACTGGGTGCAGCAGGATTCACTGATCCTAGGTAAAACCACAACTCGTTCTTTTTACACTTCAGTTTGTGTTCACGTTAAGGAGACAAGATAAAAGGTAGTCATCAGTATGCCTTAGCAGTGTTCATAGATATATGTTTCCATCTGCCTCCAGTCTTTATGCTAAGCTAAGCTAACCACTTTCAGACTCCAGTTCCCTATTGAGCGGAGAGACACGAGAGTGGAAGCGATCTTCTAAATCTCGCAAAGAAAGCTTTAGAGTATTTCAAAACACAATGAACTATTCTTTTATGTGACAGGAAAGATAAAGAGATGAGGGTTTCTGCACAGTTGCTGTCAAATATTAACTGCTGATTGTTCAGATATACGCAGAGGTGTGTAGTGACGAGTAACATTTACTCCGTTAAATGTTCTCAAGTTACTTTTTTTACTAAATTGTATTTGTTCGAGTAGTTTTAATATACTTTTTACTCTTACCAGAGTAGATTTTTAGAGAAAAACAATAATACTTTTGCTCTGTTACATTTGGATAGATTTATCGAGCTTGGAGTTAACAATATATATCGATATCGTGATATGAGACTAGATATTGTCTTAGATATTGGATATCATAATATCGTAATATGACTTAAGTCTTGTCTTTTCTTGGTATTAAACTTAGTCACTTTATCATTATGCCCACATTACTGATTACTTATTTGTAAATATTTTGTGATAGCACCAATAGTCAACCCTACAATATCTATATTGAGGTATTTGGTCAAAAATATTGTGATATTTGATTTTCTCCATATCGCCCAGCCCTACATTGCACCCCTTTTATTTAGTTATTATTTTATGATTCATGAGCTGTTCCTAGGTTATGGCTTTCAAATAGCACTAGCAGCTAATGGTTACCAACAGATTAACAGTGCAGCAGGCTCTGGTCTAAAGTCAGTACTTTAGAGAACCGTGCTAACAGTGAGTGTGTCTGTTGTGTTATTGCTGATAAGTTTAATACAATATACACGCAGTATATGATGCTACAAAACTACTACTGCTTTCTGTCGTACTGTAAAGAGCCAAGCTAACGGTGTACATTTAACTAGTCATGCTTTGTGGAGCCTGAAGAGAGACAGAAAAATAGAGAGGAATAACAAAGACTGATATCATGTTTCAACCACAGATGATCTTCCTCAGTACAAAGTGAAGAAGTGAACATACCTGTGTCTAACAGTGAATGAATAATAAAACATCACAACAATATCTCCTATTTGGCCTGAATGATTAATCTGATAAGAGACAGATCTGTGTCTGTCTGTCTGTGATGGGAACCAGGACTTAGGACATCTACTTGACATCTACACTGGAACGATTGAGTGTAACTAAGTACATTTAGGCTTCTCAAGTACTCTACTTTAGTACAATTTTGAGGTACTTGTACTTAACATGAGTATTTCCATTTTATGTAACTTTATACTTCTAGTCCACTACATCTCAGAGGGAAATATTGCACTTTCACCTTCACTACATTTATTTGACAATATAGTTACTAGTTAGGCACAGATTCAGATTCTTAATACAAAATATAAATCAACTAATAAACTATAATGTATTCGTAGTGTACAGTCTAATTATTAAGTATATAAAGAAATTAAAATGAGCTCCACCTTTACCAGCTACAACGTCAAAGTGCTGAACCCTTCAATGCATTAATAATTATAATCTAATGATATAGGCCTACTGTAAATATAGTATTTTAAATGGGCCATTCAGCATAATGAGTGTACTTTACTTTTGGTACTTTAACTATGTTTTGATGCTGATACTTAACTTTTAGTTAAGTATAATTTTGAAAACAGGACTACTTGTAACACTAATACTACTTGTAGTTTAACACTGTGGTCTAGTGTAATTGAATC